AGCTTTTTAGCTTCTGTGCTGAGGAATTTTAAGAAATGGCCCATCCTTCTACATATTTTAAATTGGACAAAATGTACCCTTCATCCACCATATTAGTCTCATAAACATTACTAACTTAAACTTTTTCTTGAATGGATTTAGAATGCACTAAGTATTGCAAGGCACAATACAGTCAGCACAATGCTATACACATACAGGAACATATAAAGAACTACAATATCAATGATGGATTGCTTTTCCATTTGTAGATAATAAAAATTGTTTTCTATGGCACTACTAAGTACCTTTGGTAAGGATGTCTGTTTGATGATTTGTCAGATGATAACACTCAGAAAATCACTGAACTCCAAGTTGCATATGTTATAGAACATTTTATTATTTTATTGTACACATATTAAACATTTTATCCGAGTTACAGAATTTCATAGTTGATAGGAACTTCAGAGGTAATTGGGTGTACCTCATACAATGAAAGTATCTCCTTTACAACACACCGAACAACAGGTTATACAGTCCTTCGATGTAAGAGAACCCACCGCCTCCCAAGAGAGCCCATTATACTTAAGGACATGACTAATTGTTAGAAACTTTTTCTTGACATCAGGGCAAAATTCACTATTTTTGCAGTGTCAACCCACTGTTACAGTTCTGATTTCTGAAGCCAAAGAGAACAAGTCTAATATCTCTTTCACATGAAGACCTTTCAAGTAATTGAAGTTATGTTTTCACCCAAGTCTAATCTTCTCTAGGATAAACAGTTCCTTCAACTCATGCTCATATGGTATAAAATGGAGGGCCTTTACTCTCCTGGTTGCCCTTCTCTGGATGACTCAAGTGTATCAATCTCCCTCTTACAATTTGAAGTCTTGAGCTGAAGGAAAACACATAGGATATGATTTGATCTGGACAAAGTACAATGGAACTAATACCTCCCTCTCCCAGGAAGCCATGTCTTTCAATGCAGCCCAAAAATCCCATTAATGCTTGTGACTTCTAAACCATCACTGACTTATATTGAACTTGAAGTCCACTAAATCTCTCAGATCTTTTCCAACATGTCTAACCATGTCTTCTTTATCTTTTATTTGAGAAGTTTGACTACTTAACCTTAGTGTATGATTTTTCCTTTGCCCCTATTCTTTCCTCTTACCCAATTTTGACCAATTTGGACCAGTTATTTTTTAGATTCTGGTTCTCTCATCCAGTGTGTTACCTACTCCTCCAGCTTTATGTCATCAACAATTCTGTTTTTCTAATGCACACTACCTATGCTTTCATCTAAGTCATTGATAAAATTTTTGAGCAACACAGGAGCAAGAACAGATCCCTGAGAGACCCTTTGCCAAAATGATATTGAGCTATTAATGGTATCTCTAACTCTACCCATTCAACTAACTGTGAATATATCAAACAGTATTATCATCTGACCCAGGTCTCTCCAATTTTTCCCTATGAGTAACAAGAGGGTTTTTGCCAAATGCCTTGTAAAAACCTTGCAAAACTATATACTTTAGCAATTTAGCAACCTTGTCAAAAAGGGAAAGAGTCTCAGGCAGGCAAGACTTCTTCAAATTGAATCCATCCTATTTCATTGTGATGTTCATTTTCTAGAGTTTCGCTAATCATTTCTTTATTACCTGTGAGATTATTGACCTTTTGTGCCTTCAAATGAGTGCCATTATTCTTTTTTTCAGCTCCATGAAAGAAGTCTCTGGCAGTTTGATTGGTAGAAGATGGAATACATTCATTTAGACAGTATTGTCATTTTTATCATATTGACTTCATCTACTCATAAGCAATTGGCATTTCTGAATTTAGGCCTGTCTTCATTTCTGCAAAAGAGTGTTTTGTAGTTGGATTTATATGGCTACTAGGCGTGTCTTGGTAGATTTTAAATATTGTGAAGAGTGATATGTATTTTATTTGTATGTGATCTACTTAATATTTTATTCATTTAGTGGTTATTTTGAGCAGGACTTCCTTTCTTCTACTCTTTCTTCTGGGTTTTGTCAGAAATAAACAGAAAATCTGAGGCTTTTGTAGATTTATTTTATATTCTGCTGCTTCATTGAAATTATTGCTTTAATTAGGGTTAGTTGAGTCTATAGAGTTCTTTAATTAAACCATATTATCATTTGCAAAAAGCAATAACACTTTCTTTTTGCCTACATATATTTCCCTCATTTTCCTTTTTATTTTGTCTCCCTGATATACATAGCATTTCTAGAATTATATTATGCAATTGTGACAATGGATATCTTTTATTTGTCCCTGATCTTATTGGTAAGACCTTTAGGGTTTTTCCATTACAATGATGTAATGCTTTATTTTGTAATGTAATGTAATATAATATGTAATGTAATGTAATGTAATGAAATGAAATGAAATGTAATGTAATGCTCTTTGCCGTATTTTCTAAAAGTTCCATTTATTTCTATTAAAAGCATGACAATGTATTTAATATAAATTGGTACTGGGTCAGAGCCAAGATGGCAGAGCATGGGCAGGAACCTGCTTGAGTGCTCCCAAATTCTCCTCCAAAAAACTTCAAAATAACACCTCAAAATGAAGTCTGGATTGCCAGAACCAACGAAAAGGTGAAACAATTTCCAGCTCAAGACAACTTAGAAGGTCAGTAGGAAAGATTTGTCTTACTGGGGTGAGACTGGAGTGCAGTCCAACACAGGCCACACCTCATCAAGCCAGCAGCATAATTAAGGGCTACTGAACTCACTGTGGCAGTTTCTAGAGCTCCCAACCCACAGATGATAAGAAGGTTGAAAAACAGAAGGAGATTAAAGGAGTCCCTTTAGTGACATAGGGTGCATTGCACATATACAATTCTTGATCATAATACCAGGGTGAGAAGGATCACTGGCACAGTACTAGAACATATGGCCAGAGGGAAGCATGAATTCAGACCACAGTTCCAAGGCAGAAAAGAATGCTTGTGGTCATTCACAGACAAGAGTACAGGTCAGGAGAGCAGAGACCACACCTCTCCTTAAATAATAGCTGCTTGGAAGAACTGAAAACTGACAGACTCCCAGAACTAGCTCTGAAAACAACTGCACAAAAAACCCTGAAGCTTGAGATGGTGTCCCCTTGACCCCAAGGGCAGAACACAACTTTAACATGAAGCTAAAAGTAAAAAAAAAAAAAAGACTAAAAATAGAACCAACGAAAAAAACAACAAAAAGAACCTGACCATAGAAAGTTACTATGGTGACAGGGGACATCAAAACACAAACTCAAAAGAAGACAACAAAGTCAAAAAAGCCTCAAGGAAAAATATGAATTGGTCTCAGTCTACCACCCCCAAAAAAATATTCCTAGAAGAGCTCAAAAAGGATTTGAAAAATCATGTAAGAGAGGTAGGGGAAAACTGGGAAAAGAAATTAGTAATGTGAGAAAATTATGAAATAATAGAACATCTTGGTAAAGGAGGCACAAAAATATACTGGAAGCAAAAACCTAAAATACAAAATAGGCCAGATGGTAAAAGAGGCACAAAAATCCCCTGAAGAGAAGAACTCCTTAAAAAACACAATTTGCCAAATGAGAAAAAGATGTAGAAAAATTCACTAAAGTCTAAAAGAACTCTAAACTGGCCAAATGGAAAAGGAGGTACAAAAGCTCACTGAAGGGCCATTTTTGCTTTTCTTTGAACCTCTAGTCCTAATCTCAGTGCCTTGCACATGGTAAGACATTAAGTCTGACTGACTAACCGACCTGCAGTTTTATTGCACCATTTTTGAAGTATTGTAGATTTGTCAAGTGTTAGTGAAAGATACATGAATGTGCACTCCTCAAATACAAATACAAGTATACATCCCTTTTTCTAATGCCCTTTGTTCCCAAACATATGAACCAAATTTCACTTCCCAATGGTATTGTGGACTTTCTAAGTTTAGGAAAATCTATGCTGCTTAGCAGCTTGATGGCACAGTGGATGGCACTGGGCCTGGAATCAAGACACCGTAAATTCAAATCCAACCTCAGTTACATGCTAGCTGTATGACTTACTAGCAAGTCACTTAACCTCTCTTTGCCTCAGTTCTCTCAACTGTAAAATGTAAAATAACAACACCTATCCTGTGGGTTTTGAACACATCACCTGCTTTGTGGTAGACTCTATGTAAATATATTTATTCCCCGTATTAATCACTATAAACTACTAAGACAAATCAGAGTAGTTTAAGGAGTATTAAGACCAGTACTCTCTTACATTATGGCAGATAATGAAAGTTGCCTATATCTCAAAGAAATGCCTTAAATATATCAAAAAGATATGGATAAAAGGGACCAGAGGGACAGAATCATAAGAAAAGGTATAGGAGAATTTTTTAACTATAAGAAACATTTAATCACCACTACCAAATAAAAGCCTTTGATGCTTTAAAGGAGCAATGTCTTGTTTAATCTTGGAATGATTCCTTGTCAACTACAATGACCTCATAACCTACTATTATATAATAAATTAAATATTATTTATATATATTATATATTATATAATACAATATATACTCAAACCACAGAGTAATTGTGTAGTCAATGTTCATTGAATGCAATAGATGATTGGTTTTCAAGGATCAGGAATCAAAATACAGCCTCAGAAATACGTTTCTTTGAAAGGGAGAAGTATAATAAGTTGTAATTGTAATTAGATATAAGTTGTAAGTTGTAAGAAGTTGTAAATATAATTAGATCTTTAGGGCATTATTCCTTAAGTATCAGAAAGTTTTGAATTCTGGCACATTTCCATTCAGAACTTTAAATTGCTTCAGGGACAAAAGCTGTCCCCTAAGAAGAAGTTAAAATGACTTCCTAAAGTCTGTGGTTGCCTCTTTTTAAATTGTGTCTGGCCTCTATATCAGGGCCAGTGATTCTGGCTGAGTCCATTGAAAAACAAATGTGTCCAACTACTAAAAAGTTAAAGTCAGTCTTCTTTTCTTTCTCTATTTCTCTTCTTTTTCTATTTCGCTATTTCTGAGTGACAGAAACCCAGTATTCTGCCTCTGATCAATATCTGATGAAGCATCTGGAGGAAGTGCATCCCTTCATATAGAGGGTTAAATTTGATGTAATAACTGAGCTACCTGTAATGTCAATGACGCTTTAGAATTGAATTTCAAAGCTGTGCATCAGAAATGACCATGTGGAAATTCATCATAAGCACTTCCTAAAGCAGGCAGAGATTGGTTTCTTGAAATAAGAAAAAGCCATCTGCTGTCTACTGAGCCCAGGAAGTGAGACAACAACTTTTCATACAGGTAAATTGTTATGATGACATGCCTACTAACTACTCAAACTTGAGCAACACCCTGAGTTATGGTGCTCTTAGACTAAACTCTCAGTTTAATAGAGGAATTTTCCTGGTGGGAAGGGACTTGTGGGCAAGAAAAAGAATCCTAAGTGTGAAAGGTATTTCAGAAAGAAAGAAGGAGGACAAGAGGTGGAATGACAAAAGGCACCATAAAAGCAGATCCACAGGAAAAGGAAGTCAGAAATCCAGTATAGATGGAGAGGTGGAGCTGAAATTTGGTCCAAAAAGAATTAATCAATTTTCTGTGTCAGACTGCAACTTCTTGGGAACTATTAGAGTATGTAAGGGTGCAATGCTTGTATCAACCATCCCTGGCCAGACTGGCTTGGTTGAGTAGCAGCAGACAATAGCATACATGCTATTTCACTTGGAACAAATAGCAAATAAGTTATTAATAATACTAATAACAGCAACAACAATGAACATTTATATAGTACCTACTATATGACATTCACTGTGCTAAGTGCTTTACAAATACCTTATTTTACCCCCATGCTATGATGACACATTACACGTGCTCAAAATAGTTTAGAAGAAATAATTGCTCTTTTACATCATTGACTCATAGTACTTAGATCTTGAGAAGACCACGGATTTTATATGGATATTTTACAGGTAAAAAACCTGAGACTCACAGAAGACCAAAAAATTAAGTTGGGATTCAAACTCTGGTTATTAGATTCCAAATGCCCCAATGTATTTCCCACTACCTTATCATTTTTTCTTCATCACTCTGAGTGATACAAAAAGAAAATAATCTTTACCCTAACTACAGGGTATAAATTGGTGATAATTTCATTGAGAATAAGAGAAGACTGGTATGTTTACAACTGTTTGTGGGAAACAGGAAATGCATTCACCTATAAAAATGGTTAAGAACCCCTGATCTCATCTACCTTCCCCATTTACAAAGGAGAACATTGAGACCAAGACAAAGATGGATACAACAGCAAAGGTGTCCATTGTAGATACATACAAAGACAAAACACTAATCTGTTGATACTAATCTATAATGTTACTATCATACCATCAGGACAAGGTTTTCTATAAGGAGTCTGAAGGCACCTAGGCAAGAGGCAGCTAATGGATAATATAATTATAGTAAGAGCTTGATTTTAAGATTAGCAGATGCTACTGGAAGGACCAGGCAGGTGACACAAGTGAGGAAGTATGCATTATCCAGGGTGTAAGAGACCAGATGATTAAGAAGAATACCACTAGAAAGTTCCCAGACTCCAAATGCATATTCTCACACAATCAGTTTCTTTTCTACTGCTTTTCACACACCATCCTGAGAAGAATACATAGGGGCTCACAATTATATTTTTCAGCCATGGAAGACAAAAAAAGTCCATACGTAAGGTTTCCTCTGGTTTTTTAAAAGAGCCAGAACTCTATTTGAACCCCTTTTAGAAAAATGGAAGTGGACTAGAAGTAATGGAAAGGACATAAAGACAAAGTTTTCTAACTCCTTGCATTTCTTCTCTCTTCTGTTGACCTTGTTTGAGGGAAACAATCAAGTATCTCTCTCTCTTTTTTTTTCCTTTTTCTGAGAAGTTTCACATCAAATATACAGAGTAGAAGAAATAAGGAAGAAATAAGAACAGGTGTTAATTTGGGATCCAAGTCCATCCAATTTTCAAGAATGCTCCTGAATCTATATATTTAATATGAAAATATGTAAAGGAGCAAAGAGTTCATTTTGGTAGAAATTTCCCAGTGTGGAAATCTTCTCCATTGATGCAGCTTGTAAATACATCCATGACTTAATAGCTCATAGGTTTACAAACAGTTCTAGATTTGAAATTAATCTTACAGGTCACTCAAGTAATAAACAATAAAGCTGGTATCTCCAGATTCAATGTTTAGATAAGTCCTAGGTTATTGACTAAGGCAAAATAGATGTTAAGCATTATGCCTAAGGTCACAAAGCTAGTGAGTGTCAAAGGTAAGATTTGAACCCAGATCTACCCAGTACTCTCTCTATATGAACCATTATCTTTTGGAATGTAATTAAATTATGGTCCCATTTTACAGGATTCATTTTTATTTGTATATTTGTACTAAGCTAGAAATTTCTTCCTTTCCATCTCACTCTCTGTTTCTTTCAAGTATATTGATCAATGGAAAGAGATCTGCTTCTGAAGTAAGACAAACAAGATTCAAATACCACCAGTGCTTCTGATGACCTGTGTAAACTTAAGAAAATCATTTGACCACTCTGGGCATCAGTTTCCTCATCTACAAGAAGAAGAGTTTGGACTTTATTGCCTCTAAGGTTGCTTCCAAGACTAGATCTATGAGTCTATGAGCTATTCAATTGTTTAGCAAGTAGAACTCAGTCTGCACCTCCAGAAAAAAAAAACACCCAGAAATGGTTGCTGAGAAGAAGTAATCAATTGAGCCTCAAAATTTCTTTATGGAAGAGAAGTGTCAATAAAACAAAGTTCCCTATAAGTGAGTTTCTAAGCATAGTTTATGGGAGAGAGAAATCTAAAGGAAAACTTTGTCTTGGGGGGATAAATTTGAAAAATATGTTCCTAGTCTAGAAATTTTATTTGGGAAAAAAACTGCATTTTCACTCATGTTAGTTAGATAAACTTTTTTATTTTGTGTCCTAATTTAAAATATTGCAGGTAGAAGATAGAGTAAATGGAAAATCAAACATTGATGAATGTCCTTTTTCTTCACGGTCTTGCTGCTTACCCCATCTTTCACCTTGTTTTCTTTCTCATGTCCCTTATCATGTACATTATAATCCTGCTGGGCAACAGTTTCCTCATTACAATCATCATCCTGGATTCTCACCTTCATACTCCCATGTACTTCTTCCTCAGTAACCTCTCCTTCCTGGACATCTGCTACACATCTTCTTCTGTTCCGTTGATACTTGCAAACTTCCTTTCAGTTAAAAAATCCATTTCCTTTGTGGGATGTGGAGCATAAAATGTTCTTCTCTCTTGCCTTGGGATCTACAGAGTGTGTGCTCCTCACTGTCATGTCATATGACCGCTATGTGGCCATTTGTAGGCCCTTGAGATACCCTGTCATCATGAACAAGGAGCTTTGTGGATGGATGGCAGCCAGTTCCTGGATGACAGGTATGCTAAATTCATTGGTGCAAACAGTCCTTGCTCTGGGGTTGCCCTTTTGTGGGAACAATGTCATTGATTATCTCACATGTGAGATCCTGGCTGTGTTGAAACTAGCATGTACAGATATCTCCCTCAATGTAATCATTATGGTAATATCAAATGTCATCTTACTAGTTATTCCGGTGTTGTTAATAATCATCTCGTATGCCTTCATCCTCTTTACAATTCTGAGGATCAATTCTGCAGAGGGAAGGAAAAAAGCCTTTTCCACCTGTTCAGCACACCTGACTGTGGTGACTATGTTTTATGGAACCATCCTCTTCATGTACATGAAGCCCAAGTCCAAAGACTCCCATGCAACAGATGAGCTGATTGCTCTCTTCTATGCTGTGGTCATTCCCATGCTCAATCCCATCATTTACAGTCTGAGGAATAAGGACGTAAAAGCTGCTGTGAAAAAGTTAAGCAAAAGTATCTTCTCACAGACAACATGAGAAGCTGGAGGGTATCAGCCAATGAGACAAAATGAAATGTCATCAACATTTTGAAATCAATGTTTGGCATATGGGTTTGATTCTCTCCAGCCTTGCCACCTATCTACTGGTACTCCTCATCACAGCCAACTCTAGCAAAGCATAGTCATGGAAATGGGCTGACATCAAAGAAATAGAGCCTTCCTTCATAGGCATGTTTCCAGAGGTGAGAAGGTAGGACAATAAACTTCAAGGAACATGAAAGAATCATGTGGAAATAAGAGGAGCTTCTAATTGGGGAAATCCCTCTATAATCTAGTTGTACCGTATCCAATATTTTTTCTCACATGGGGTCCTCCACAAAAGTTAGAAGACACCATGATTCATTGAGAAAAAGTATTGAACTTGAAATCTCAGGTTCTAACCTCAAATTCTGGTCCTACTATTTCCTACTTCTAAAACCTTAGACAAGTCACTGAACCTCTCCTGGTCTCAATTTTCTAGTTTATAAAAAGAAGTAGTTAGAATAAATGTCCTCTAAGTTCCTTTCCAACATTAGAATGATGATCCTATGTTCCAGTTCAGTCAAGTTGGTGTCACTAAAGCCCATATGCATCATATTCACATATGCCTCCTATAGAAACCACTAAGGAGTTGGGAGCTAAAGATGTATGCCTACTATTTTGGAAGGAAATTTCCTGGTATCCTCCTGTTCCACCACACCACCATCCCCAACTCTCATCCCTGGAGTTTTGCTCTGACCTGGTCAGTTTTGGGTTTAGAAGAGATCCTGATGTGTACTTGGACTTTACAAGCTGGCCTCTTCCACCTTTGAACCTGCGGAAGTCTTTAAAGTTTGGTTATCTTTTTCTGTTTAAAAGTTTGCTTGTTTTCTTAAACTGGAAAACAAGTGATGTTGATCAACAAATTGCTAAACTATGTGCTAATGCTTGAATGCAGCAATATGAGAAGGTACTTCACTTTGAGGATGGCTCAGGAGAGGAGATAAAGTTAAAACTTCATATTTGCCAGAGTGAGATTTCTGGCTAGAAGCTTGGAGAGTATTATGGATTTATTTTTCACAACTTCTTATGAAGAAAAGAATACACAAGCTTCTCTTTGGGCAAATGATTTAGCTATGGTGGCAGGGCTGGTGACTGTCTGGACCAGGATCAAGACAGGCATTTGTCATTACTGCAGATTAATTTTTAAGGAAAAGCATTCCTCCAAAGGAGAGGGGCTGAGGGAGTGACTGGAGAAAAAGTCCTATCTCAAGAAAAGAAACCTGTCCCAAAGGGAAGAATAGCCTGTCCCAAGAATAGGAATGAATCAAAGTGACTGGTACCGCTACCCCACTGCTTACCAGGTGATCAAATAGACACCACCAATAACATACTACATAAAGAAAAGGAAATCTGTCTAGAGAATTTGTGACGTTGCCAAGGATACGAGTAGAAATTAGCAGAGCCAGAATTTGAACCAAGGTCTTCACACTACATTTTCAGAGGTCTTCCCACTGCACTGTCTCTGTCTCTCTGTCTCTCTTTGTCTCTGGTTCCCTCTGTCTCTCTCTTTTTGTCTCTCCATCTTTGTCTCTCTCTGTGTCTCTGTCTCTCTCTGTCTCTCAATCTCTCTCTCTCTTTCTCTCTTTCTTCATCATTTACATTTTGTACCTTCTCAAATTGTTATAGACCCTTTCTAATCCATCCTCCACACTACTGCTTAGTTGATATTTCTAAAGTACAGCCCTGATCATGTAACTTCACTGCTCAAGAAGCTACAGTGGTTCCTTCTTGCTTTGAGGATAAAAAGCAAACCCCTCCATTTGACTTTTAAAGGCCTTATGCGCTAGCTTTAGCCAACATTTCCAGGCTTATTACGTACTACTCTCTGCACATTCTACAGTCAATACAAACAGGCCTACCTGCTCTTCCCCATACACAATATTCCTTCTCCATCTCTATGAGTTTGCATGGACTGTCTCTCATGCCAAGAATTTACTCCTTCCTCACCACCACTGAAGAATCCCTAGCTTTGTACAAAGGTCAGCTCAATACTCACCTCCTACAAGAGGAAGTCTATCCTGATTCTTCCTCACCCCAAATTACTAGTAAGATCCCCTCAGAAATTATTTTGTTTCTATTATCTGTTTTGATGCAACTAGATGGCAGAGTGGATAGTGTTAGAATTGGAGTCAGGAAGACTTGAGTTCAAATCCCACATTAGGTAGTAGCAGTGTTGACCCTGGGCAAGTCACTGAACCTTTCTCAGAGTCATTTTCCTCATCTGTGAAATGGGGATTAATAACAGCACCTACCTCACAGGGCTGTTGTGAGGATCAAATGAGATAACATGTGTAAAGTGCTTTGCAAACTTGAAAGCACTATATAAATACTTGAAATTCTAAATTGATACAATTCTATGTATTATTCCCTTCTCCAACCAAATGCAAAAACCTGGAGGCCGGGTAATATTTATTTTTTGTCTTTGTACTCCTAGCCCCTCTCATAAGATACCGTACATAGTAGTCATTTAATAAATGATTGTGTATAAAAGAACAAGTATCTAAGTTCCTTGAGAGTAGACATTCTATCTTACACATACATAGCATCTTTTTTAGTGCTTAGCATTCATTGAAGGCATTTTAGAAATATTTGTGCTTGATTTTAAAAAAAACACTTTGGTTCTTTCTGTGAACCACACTATCAAGAAGAAATTAGCCTGAGAAGATGGCCAGACTCAGTTCTTGAGTCAGATATCACTCACATAGACGAAGAGAAGAAAAAGAGCCTATTCATAGAGATGACAATGTTATCATTGGAAGCATAATACCTAACATTTGCATAACTCATTACATCTAAAAAACTGATTTATATTCATCATTTCACTTGATCTTCATAACAACCCTGTTAAGAAAGTAGGGAAGTGGGCAGTTAGGTGGTGCAGTGTATAGAGCACCAGCCCAGGATTCAGGAGGACCTGAGTTCGAATGTGTTCTCAGACCCATAACACTTAACTAGCTGTGTGACCCTTAGCAAGTCATTTAACCCCATTGTCTAGCCAAAAAGAAAACAATAGGGAAGAATTTGTTACCTTCATTTTATAGGGATGCAATTTAAGCTGAGAAAAGTTAAGTGACTTCCAAAAATTACATAATCATGGAGTTTATCATAAAAGATAAAATAAATTATTTCAATTACCTATCATCAGAAAACTTTTGCACCAACAAAATCATTGCAACTTGGTTAAGAAAAGGAAGTTTTAAGAGCAGCTAGGTGGCACAGTGGATAGAGCACTGGCCTTGGATACAGGAGGACCTGAGTTCAAATCTAGCCTCAGACACATAACAGTTACTAGCTGTGTGACCCTGGTCAAGTACTTAATCCCATTGCCCCCAAAAAAGTAAAATAAAATAAGAAAAGGAAGTTTCAGCTAAAAAAAAATCAGCTTTATATCAAATAGTTCTGTTTGAGATCTGATAGTCCCTGATACAAAGGAAATCAATACAAATATATATAACCATAGGTCACATAATTAGTAAATGACAGATTGAGGTCCACAAATTAAGTCACTTAATTCACCCCAAAGCATTTCTCACTCTACTATGCTAATTAAAGAATTAAGACTCTTGAAAAACTCAAGTTCATGAAAATAGGGTTGGTGTGAGTCAATATTCCTAGGGTATGGGTATTCCTGAGTGCAGTTGCCATTAAGAATCTACAGCTACGGATCTGGGACATCCATATGCTGCATAGGTTGAAAGAGACTATCTTTACAACCCACCTCAGAGATATGTTATTTTGCACTAATTGGACCTCAGAAATAATTGAGGCACATAAATATTTTATGTAAATAGGTTGGGAAATAGA